ATTTGAAGCTGTCCACTCTCTCCACTGGGCACTCGTTGATGACGGGGGTCTGGTAGTTCCTCTCCTGCTTAGTGCTGAAGTCCACTATCAGCTCCTTTGTCAGCATGAATCAAGACACAGCCTGAATGGTTGACAGAAGGCAGGATGGATCCTTTCATGTTTTTCTTTTTTTTTTTTAAACTGGCAAACTGACTCCCGGCTCTTATTTTGTCCTGCTGCACCTTTGATTTCAGTCAGTTCTGCACAGTTCCTTTCTTTAACTGCATGTACATGTGAAAGCTCCTGAAATATGAATCTGCATCCAATAAAAACTTCTACCCTGGTTTGTTGTGTTGGGGTGGTCAGTACAGACTCCATCACAGTAAAATACAGTGGATTTGTTCTAAATAATTTGAAGATGATTCCAAATCCCTTTGCTGACTCATTCACATTAACCTTATAGTGATGTCTATAAATCTTCTCGTGATGACTTCATGCGTCATGCCAGGGGCTTAAATGACGTGGATGACAGCCATCACTATAACCACTGCTGACACTCAATAATTTTCTATGTGTTTAATAATTTTTTATTTAATTTGATGCTGATTTGTTGAAATTGGAACAAGCACCAGGAAGTGAAGCAAGAGAAAAAAAGCAGGGGACTCGTTGTCTTCTTACTCAGTGACAGTCTTTGTCTCTCAAACCTCTCCATCAGCAACTATAGACTATTTATTTTATTGTTATGGAGATGTTCACATGAGCTGGAACATCTTTTCTTTTGTCTCTCTTTTTTCTTTCAAGATTAGATGACTTTAATTGTCTGGAGGATGGAGTCTTTCTTTTAATGAGTGTTGTTTTTCCGCTCTGTGTTCTGGCTCTCCTTCCAGACTTCATAGTTGGAACTGTCCATAAGTCTAAAGGTCTGGAGTTTGACACCGTGATGGTCACTGATGACTTTGTCAAGGTTCCCTGTTCTAAGCACAACCTGCGCCACAGTCCTGAATTCTCATTTGGTATGTTATGTTTTTTGGGTTGTTGTTGTTTTTTTCTTGGACCTTTTTATCACGAGTGGCATGAAGCACGTCTAGTAAGGAGGATGATTTCTACCTGAAAGCGGGAATGTTGTTTAACTGTTGTTGTTTCTCCCCCCGACACACAGCTAAAATTCCTGACGATGAGTGGAACCTGCTGTACGTGGCTGTCACTCGTGCCAAAACGACTCTCATCATCACAGAAAACATCCGCCGCATCATCACAATGGCTGGGGTACGAAACTCTCACTGTGCATCTCACTTCTTATCCTATTGCTGTGCAGTTTCAGTAACGCCTTCACATGTAAACCTCATAATGGCATCAAAACAACACGGTCATGAGAATAGATGCACTTCATTTAAACCAAACCTTGAGAAATGACTGTGACAGCAGTTACAGCATTAAACACAACCTGGAGCACATTTAAAAGAATGAAGAAATGAGAAAATTTAAAGAACGAAAAAAAGCTGCCCCTTGCTCTCAACTCGGGACCCGCCCAGCTTCACGTTGTCAACCCTTTCGCCTATTGACGCTTGAAGCCACACAGTGTCGTTGACTTCCTAGTTTCAGATTACTGCAATGCTGCTTCTCCCTTACTGTGTGTCCCGTAATTTCCAGTAAGTGGCACTGAGGGTGGTTTGGATCCATGTGTTTTCCATTATGATTCAAAGACAGAATTTCCTCCAAAAATTACTTTTCAGCACATTTTACACGTGGCAGTACAGTATTCAGGACAAAGAAGTATTTCTTTGCAGTAACATGACCAGGTTCGCATGACTTTCAGTCCAAAAATGCATCAATCCCTCTGCTGCCTTCCGGACTGAAAAACCCCAAAGCCAGGTACAGAATGTGGCCGGGGAAGTTTAACTGCAGCTCCAGCTCCATGAAACAAACACAGTTGTGCTGGAAGTTTCCATACACTCATCATGGGCATGACTGTCATAATTATGTGGGTCTTTTTGGGGGGATTTCTTTGAACTATTCTTTTTCCAAGGTGGAATGATTACACAGCAGATATTTTTAATGACTTCCAAAAACAAGAATTGGGAAAATTAAATGGAGAATTGTAGATATACAAAATTTGGTCATGTCTTTCTGAGCGATTTCTTAAAATCTGTACGTAAGTACAAGATATTCGGATGGGTCACTCCTTTCAGGATCTGGAAGACGACCCAAGCTGATTACAGGATTTATTCCAGGCAGCAGATCTTTCAGTGTGAAAATAAAAAATAAAAAAGGCAATGAAGTAGAACAGCGACTATAACAGGCAGCTGTGCCAACAATTAAAAAAAAAATCTTTTTTTAATACCACTTCTTGACAGTGATCACTGTTTGACAGTATATACAAACACTAATCACCCTTTCCTCAATACAAAATATAATATAAGAAAGGTGCTCAGTGTTTCCCTTTTGTCAGAGGAAAAAAAGACATGACTTGCTGGACACTGAAAGTTTTTCCTCATCTTTTTTTCTGACTGTTTCTCCACTAGTTTAGCATTTAGCTAAGCTAGGGTCCGCATGAGGAGGTACCTGGGCCCTACAGAGGTTGCACAGGTAGTCCAACTCTTTCACATGGGACATCAATGCATGTCTTTGCCAGAAGGTTTGCTGTGTCTCCCAGCACAGTCTGAAGGGCATGGAGGAGATTTCTAGGAGGGTTGTTACAAGCGTGAAAGGGTGTGGAGAAGCCATGGAGAACACTGTGCTTCATCATCAAACGTGGCTGGTTTGGTGGTGCAAATTGAAACAGCTTGCAGCATCATTTTCTTCACTTTGATTTTCAAGGTGTCTTTAAATTCAGCCCTCTGTGGGATGATCATTTTCATTTCCATCAAATGATGTGACATCCTTTTGTTATTTTGTTCCCATATCAGTATAGATATCCAGTATGATTTTTTTTTTCTCATTGATCTGATGTATTTTGAAAGCACTGTATTTGTTAATTAGCATTTCCAGTGACTCAAAGGACTTTGATTTTCAGCCCCTTATATTTCCAGTACAGCTAAACTAAAACGTTTTCTGTTTAGGGAGGTTTTATCAAGCTTTGATTATCTTTTGTAAACATAGACTGTTGCCTGAACTCCACGATAAAGTTTTCCCATTGTAAATGCAGCCCAGTCGGTGTACAGATGTTGGGAGCCGAGTCAGTGAGATCAGTTTTTGCAGAAAGCCAAACACAGTTTAAAACGCACACTCTAAAAGGAGTGGTGGGGAAATTGCATGGCCATAATAGTCTGCTGTTGTTGTCTTTTCTTTTTGCTTCTTGGGTGGTTGTTGGATTCTGTTTGGGGAGGGGTATGTGGTAATGACACCTTCACCTCAGTTTTTTTTTTTGGAAAAGAAAAAGTGCACACAGAGTTTGAAACTTTGGTAACACAACAGCAATGAAGTTAATGCTGCCATCGCAAGTGCAGTTTACGTTTACAGTTTACCCTCTGTCTCCTCCTAGATGGTTTAAGGATTTTATATATACGTGTGATGGTTAAGGAAACAGATTCCAATACGATAGCAGCTTTAAACAGTGAAGGAATCTCCCTGAAGCAAGAAGAAACAGAAATAGCTGATCATGTTTGCTCTGCTTTTATACTTCCTGTGTTTTCTCAAGTGGCTTTCACTTCTCTGTCTATAAATTACTACCAAAACTTATGGGCCCTGTATTGTTTCTTTTTCATGGAGTGTTGTTACCACGGTAATTTCAGTGTTCATCTGGAGGACGAACTGCACCCACTGCACCACCGTAGGGTCTCACCAAGAACTTCATCTCGATACCTAATGGGAGTCAGGGTGCTTTTGCCTAACCTGTAGAGGTCTGTGTGTCCCTCGATGGATATGCTTCCCAGACCATCACTGATCCACTACCAAACTGGTCATACTGAACAATGTTACAGGCAGCATAATGCTCTCCATGGCTTCTCCAGACCCTTTCACGTCTGTTACATGTGCTCAGGGTGAACCTGTTGTTATCTCACAGGGCATCAGTGGTAGAACTGCCAATTCTGATATCATATGACAAATACCAATGCCAGGCAGTGAACACAGGGCCCAGTAGAGGATGTTGGGTCCTTAGGCCACCCTCACAAAGTCTGTTTTAGATTGGTCTGAGACTGAAGTAACTGCCTGTCTGCTGGAATCTTCTCCATTCTCTTAGACTGTGCTGGGAGACACTGCAAACCTTTTGGCAATGAAAGATAATGATGTGAGACTACCTGCACAACCTCTGTAGGTTCTAGGTATCATATCATGCTGCCAGCAGTGACGCTGACTCCAGCCAAATGTAAAACTATTGTCAGAACGGCCACCTTATAGCTGAGTCACTAAGACCAGCTACTGTTACTATGGGCATCTATTCGTTTTGTTCTTGTACATAGACGATTCTTTTCATGTTCAGCCTTGTGAAACTCAAAAGCTAAAAGTTGTGCCACATGTAGTTTGACATGGTTTATGCTTTACGAGTATCAGTGCACATCACAGCAACAGCTGGGTGACACGGGTGGGCTGGATCTGGCTCATAGGTTTGGTTTTTAGCGTGCGCGCTCCCAGACTGTCTATTAAATGTCCTGCTCCTTGTATTCCAGGCGGTTTTATCCATATAAATGAAACTGTCTGCCATTTCTCACTGTTATCTCTAGGAGTACTTTTTTAGGTCAGAGATGCCCAGTTCCCTACTGAAGAGCGACCAGCCTCTCCCATGCTCCATCGCAAACTGTCCCAACTGCATCACCCCAGGCTCAGCCTTCATCATGTGCCGACAGCAGATGCGATGTGTAAGACCCTTCTTTGATGTAAAGGATAATATTATAATATAAGAATATTATTTAATTCTTGTTTCTACTTTTGCCCTCCTGCAGACCGATGGGTTGTCTCAAGGCGGGCCGCTGTGTGAGAAGTGTGTGTGGACCCGCGTCGGGCCCATCGCCTTCCTCATGACCGAAGACGTGCTCTCAATGGCCGAAATCCCACAAAGACTCGACCTGCCGGTCCATCATGCATTTTTCCTGGAGCTTTTTTTCTAACTGCTCATCTTTAAGGAGCTACAGTGATACGGTCCGGTCGGGAAAATAGATCGAAATGCTCAAAGCAGGACACAGACAACTGGGGTTAATGTTTAGTTAAACAGACCGACTACTGAAAAAGTATTTTGTCTGTTGTGATTATTTTTATACTTTTTGTATAATTTTTGTGATTTTTGAATTGGAGAGTAGAGCCTCCAGCCTGTGTGACTATTAAAAAAAAGTTATACTACAGAATAATTTGTAACTTTTTGCAGTTTTTAAGAATGGTCTTTGTTTGTAATCTCATTTTGTTTTGCTTTACAAGCCCATCTGGTTTGTGTTCAAAAGCAATGACCGATAATTATAACAGGAAACTTCAGTTTCTGTATTGTTTCATCAAGTTTAGTTTTTAAACTTTGAAGTTAAACAACTTCCAGATGGCTGGTGGGGTGACAGAACAAATGTGTTTGCATGCACTAGTCTTAACTGAAAAGCTGTACAAGTTCCTTGAGTTATGGAAAACAACAAGAAAGACAGGAAGAGCAAATGTTACTTAATGACGGCAAAATGTTGACATATTTCAAGTGAGGTTACTGTGGAAGTGGTGTTATCAGTGTCCACTTCCTGCTGCCACAGTCTGAAGTTTGTTGTGAGATACGAGACTGCAGTGATCTTATTTGCAGAAAAAGAAAGCTGTAAGCTCACACTCAATACATTTAACACAACTTGTCAAACATGAGGCTTGGGGGCCAGATCCAGCCTGCCAAAGACTCCCAACATGGCCCACTGGAAAGCTTTGGAAAAGGTGAAGGAAGGAAGGCATCGATTTTGGACTTGCACAGCTTTTACGTACTGACAAAGACCTCAGGATCCATTCATATTGCACCAAAATAAGTCATACATAAACATTTGAATGACAAAACATGACACTTACATGACCCTGGTTTAGTCGGACAGCCCTTATTTAAACATCTAGCACTTACGCCCAAAGTAATGGTACGTATTTAGTCATGATGTGAATATCAACCTGAAGCACCGCACAAACAACTTTTTTTAGTTGCCATCATATGAAGGTCACAGTTACAAATGGAAACACCTGCTGTAATATTAACATTTTCCGTGATACTAAAGATATATATATACAAAGAGGAGACTTTCAATTTCGATCTTTAGATTTTCTCAGGAAGAAGAGCAGGTGGTGCCACAAACATGTTTTGCCTTGTTTTTTTTTTTTAACGTTATACAGAAAACTTTGGCGTGCCGCTGAGCAAACTGATCTCTATAATCTATAATCTCTTGGTGGTTTTAACACAGGAAATCAGTACCCTTGCAGACATATTGCGTGCAAAGAAACACACCTATAGTTGGCTGAAAAAAATATAGCAGATATAAGAAGCAAAGGTACGTTAAAAAAATATAATTAACATCCCAAGGCTACAAAAAGTTTTGCTTCAAATGCACTTATAGGGCCTCATTATGCAGAATCATGGATTGGCATGCAGACTGGACCACAGGGATCAAACCACCAACCTACTGATTAGCTGATGACCTATAATATCCACAAGGAGAGAGCTCTTCAGCTGACGAGAAGAATTTTCTAAGGAGAAGGACTTTAACACACCACAGATTTCAGCTATCATCAGAGAGCCTTAATTTAAACAAGCTGTCCCTAAATGATTTTAGGTCATGACATGATGAGGAACAGGAGTGTAGGCTGATCACCTCCACCTTAGAGCAAGGGAAAAAGAGAAGTGAGAGAAGGCAAGCACAAAAGACAAGAAAACCTTGAGAAGCCCAGACACTTACTAGATGTAAAAGTCTGGTACATTTCAGATTAATTAAGTGCTAAATAAATCAAAGGATGCCGTTCTGTTTCTTGACTGGGTATCAGTGGGGATAAACATATTTGGCTGGTTCAATAAAGAAACCAACTGCTGGCTGTTTGAACAAATGTTTCTTAAAGATATGCAGCTCAGCAGGAAGAAATTCCATTGCTTGATGATTTCATCAGTGTAACTCACAGATATGTTTATGCACAAGCCAGAGTTTGCCTAGAGGCAACATACCAGTTTGATCTGGTTTTGGTACCGTCACGGTAACAGCCCCGTGTCTGCTAATAGCGGAAGCAACAGCTCTGCTCCTCGTATATGTGAAAAAAAAGTGTAACCAAGTTCATCCCAGTTTGTAAAAGGGCAGATGCTACAGCACCAGAGGCATGCTTGACCCAAAGGAATGTCATCGTTAAACTTCCTTTGCGCAATTCTTGAGATCTGTCAAGACAAAACTTCCATTTTCAGTGTCTTCAGATGTGCAATTGATTCAATTCAATTTTTCAATTCAATTTTATTTATATAGCGCCAAATCACAACAAAAGTCGCCTCAAGACGCTTCATAGATACAGAGAAAAACCCAACAATCATATGACCCCCTATGAGCAAGCACTTTGGCGACAGTGGGAAGGAAAAACTCCCTTTTAACAGGAAGAAACCTCCGGCAGAACCAGGCTCAGGGAGGGGCGGAGCCATCTGCTGCGACCGGTTGGGGTGAGAGAAGGAAGACAGGATAAAAGACATGCTGTGGAAGAGAGACAGAGGTTAATAACAGATATGATTCAATGCAGAGAGGTCTATTAACACATAGTGAGTGAGAAAGGTGACTGGAAAGGAAAAACTCAATGCATCATGGGAATCCCCCGGCAGCCTACGTCTATCCATCCATCCATCCATCCATCCTCATCCGCTTTATCCGAGGCCGGGTCGCGGGGGCAGCAGCCTAAGCAAAGAGGCCCAGACCTCCCTCTCCCCAGCCACCTCCTCCGGCGTTCCCAGGCCAGCCGAGAGATATAATCTCTCCAGCGTGTCCTGGGTCTGCCCCGGGGCCTCCTCCCGGTGGGACATGCCTGGAACACCTCACCCAGGAGGCGTGAGGTGTTCCTTGTCAGATGCCCGAACCACCTCAGTTGGCTCCTTTCGATGTGGAGCAGCAGCGGCTCTACTCTGAGCCCCTCCCGGATGGCCGAACTTCTCACCCTATCTCTAAGGGAGAGGCCAGCCACCCTTCGGAGGAAGCTCATTTCTGCCGCTTGTATCCGCGATCTCGTTCTTTCGGTCACTACCCACAGCTCGTGGCCATAGGTGAGGGTAGGGACGTAGATCGACCAGTAAATTGAGAGCTTCGCTTTTACACTCAGCTCCCTCTTCACCACGACGGACCGGTGTAGCGTCCGCATTACTGCAGCTGCAGCCCCAATCCGTCTGTCGATCTCCGGCTCCCTTCTCCCATCACTCGCGAACAAGACCCCGAGATACTTGAACTCCTCCACTTGGGGCAGGAACTCATCCCCGACCCGGAGTGGGCACTCCACCCTTTTCTCAGGCCTCAGATTTGGAGGTGCTGATCCTCATTCCCGCTGCTTCACACTCGGCTGCGAACCGTTCCAGTGCGAGCTGGAGGCCCTCACCCGATGAAGCCAACAGAACCACATCATCCGCAAAAATCAGAGATGAGATTCTGAGGCCACCAAAGCGAAAGCCCTCCGCCACTTGGCTGCGCCTAGAAATCATTGACAGATAGAGCTGGGTGTCATCTGAATAGCAGTGAAAATGTATGCTATGTCTTCTAATGATGCTGCCTAAGGGAAGCATGTATAATGTAAACAGAATTGGTTCTAGCACTGAACCCTGTGGAACTCCATAATTAACCTCAGTGTGTGAAGAGGACTCTCCATTTACATGAACAAACTGGAGTCTATTAGATAGATATGATACAAACCACTGCAGCGCAGTACCTGTAATACCTACAGCATGTTCTAATCGCTCTAATAGGATATTATGGTCGACAGCATTGAACGCTGCACTGAGGTCTAGCAGGACAAGCACAGAGATGAGTCCGCTGTCAGAGGCCATAAGGAGATCATTTGTAACCTTCACTAAAGCTGTTTCTGTGCTGTGATGAGCTCTGAAACCTGACTGAAACTCTTCAAATAAACCATTCCTCTGCAGATGATCTGTTAGCTGTTTGACAGCTACTCTTTCAAGGATTTTTGATATGAAAGGAAGGTTGGAGATTGGCCTATAATTAGCTAAGACTGCTGGGTCTAGAGATGCTTTTTGAGTAAAGGTTTAACTACAGCCAGCTTGAAGGCCTGTGGTACATAGCCGATTATTAGAGATAGGTTGATCATATTTAAAATCGAAGAATTAATTAATGGCAGGACTTCTTTGAGCAGTTTTGTAGGAATGGGGTCTAAAAGACACTTTGATGGTTTGGAGGAAGAAATTATTGAAGTTAACTCAGAAAGATCAATTGGAGAAAAAGAGTCTAACTTAACATCAATGGTACTAAGATTAATATCCAGCCAATCTGATTTGGATCTGGAGACCATTGCTTTCACAGAGGCTGCCAATGATAAAAGCTTGACTACATGATGTACAAGCTGTTCTTATCTCATCACCTCATTAGTAGGTATTTGGATGTCATGCTCATGTTGCATTGTGCTAGCTGAAGAGAGAGACATCACTTCGATCTCGTCCCAAGGATTACGTATAGGCCTACACTCAAACCTATACCTGTTACACTGCTGAACACCTTCAATTTGCATGCATTTACTGAACTTTGAACTCCCACACTTTCTTGTGGAATCCCTTGTAATTGCTAGCGATTTTGAATTAATCTATTTGTGCTTTAATGAAATTCCTTTGAGGAATTTCTGGACATGGAGCGTTTCTATCTGTAAGAAGCATCAAGATATAAACAAATCACAAAATAGAAGGAGCGCTCCACACACAGACAGGCAAAGGAAATATGAAAGAACAAATTTAAAAAATGACTAATCTCAGTTTTACTTAGCAGGGGGACAAATTTAGCTTATTTTGGTATTGAAACTTAACAGAACTTCAGATTAAACCTCAAGTTTGGTTAAACTAATGTCTCAGCCCAGGTGTGCTTGTTTTACTCTGAAAACTTCAGTCATTATGAATGTTTACTACCTCAACGCTTTACCAGGCGTTGTTGACTCTGTGATGGTAAAATGCTTCTGCTCTGCATCACATAACAGATGGAAGTGTGTTAATATCGCTCCAAGCCTGGTTGTCTCTGTGGTTTGGAGCATACTGGGATATTGATTCTGCACTCTTACATGGACAGCGGTGGTGGGGTATAAAAGACTTTCATGCACTTTACTGCACATTTAGAATTAATGTGATGAAAGCTGAAAGTACACGAGATATTTTGCATTATTTTACACTGTTTAATAC